GTGTGTGTATATATATGTATGTGTAAAAGTATCAAATGATTTGGACTATATAAATTCAATCAAACTGCTGGGAAATTAAAAAAGCAGAACTGTAGTGTTATAATTTAAAAAAATAATTTTCAGTGATTCATTCAGCTTTCATATTCTTTTCTTTTGAATATCAAAAAAGAATTTTTGGAAGAAATTTTTCCATTTTGAAAATGTTTGACAATAAAATTTCGATTCAAAGACTTGAAGAAGTTTTAGTATAAATTAAACGAGCCAAAATAGATAAGTATAAGGTACTGAAAAAATTGACTACTATAAAATTAATACATTGTAAATGTTTATTTATTATAAAATAGCTGAATTTATCATTTGTATGATATAGGTAGTACGTAAGTGGAGTATGTGAATAACAAAATTTGACTCATTCTCTCATGTATTTTAATCATGCAATACGTAATATACGTAGTAAATTTTGGTTTATTCTGTTATGTGTTCTAATACACGCAACACGTTAAATACGTAGATAGCTAAGTTTGGGTTCATTCTTAATGCGTTACTGAAAAATGATTTGTTTATGAATTCAAGAATAATTCAGATTAGATGGAGAAGATGGTGAACATCTCAGTTATTAGTATACAATAATTAGATTATGAATCAAATATTGCTTTCTTATTTTTTTTTCCATTCTTTTTCATTTTAAGTTCCAAATTCAATATACGTTCAATATATTTGTTAAAATTTCGACTTGAAATAACAATAAAATTTCTAGTTGAAATAAGTTAATATTAAATTTCAAACATATTACATACTAAAATATGCCTGAACATGAATGGAAAAATATAGCATTTTGTATAAGTTACCAGTAACGCTTATAACGTGTTCTCTGATATCTTTTACGTATATCATTCAAATAGCTAATTATCCCTCATAGAAATTTTATTAACATCAAAAAAGCTGATAAATTGTTTTTGATGCAAAATGATCATTGATTAATTTCGGTGGTAATGCAATTTGATGTGGAGGTATTATAATGTCTTAGTGAATGTATTTGTATGAGCGTTTGAATTGTTTACATAGTAATAACTAAATCCTTATCAAGTATCATTTGGTTGGTAACTGATAAGACAATCAATCTAACATAGCAGAAAAGGAAGAAGCACGAAACGTTTGCTATATTTGCTCGTAGAAGATTGTAATGTTTTGGCAATAAATTCTTTTAACGCTAAGCAATGGAAATTTTTACTGAAATATAAATTATGATTAATTTTTGATTTAAATGAACAATCCAAAAACGTTTACCTTTTATTTAACGATAAAATATTAAAAATATAGTAAATGTTTGTTTACAAATATATTACAGAAAAAAATTTGCATATTTTTCTTTAACATTTTTTTTTTCAAAAGTAACCAATACTAAATAGTTCTGGTGAATAAAAAAAAAACTAAAAGCATTCAATTATTACCTTATGATTAGAAGAAAATGAAGTTTTAAAAAGATATGAAAGTTTTCATATTAAATATAGGTTGCATTCTTTAGTATAAAATATTTGAGCTTTATTAAAAAAAAAAATTCTAGTGATCAAAGATATAGCTATTTCTTGATTGAAAATTTCATTTAGCAATCATAAATCTAAGATCGAGTTAATGATTGTATTATTTGAGTGTTACGATGATTTCATCAAAGAATAAACACATATACAAAAGCTAAGAAGAGACCTAAAAAATACTGTATCGATAAAATTTGCAGGCAATATTATTTGAAAGTTTTATGAAGAAATTATTTTTAAAAAAATAGGAAAAAATTTGATCGTTTTTTGATTTTTTTGGATCATTTCTGTATAGAAATGCAAATATTGAAGTGCAAAAAAGCATGCATGCATAAAAAGCTTACTTTATTATTAGCACTATTATTATATTACACCTTTTTTCACTAACATAAGAAGTAATGCTTTTGCATTATGATCCTTGGCTTTTTTTTATTTTTGTCATGCTGCAATTATAGATTAGAGAAAGAAAAAATGTAATCAATTTCTAAGCGTTTTCTTTTTTTTTTTGGTTATTTTAATTTGATTTTAGAATCACAAATGAAGAGAGATTGGTATTATGTAATTTCGTAATTTTGATAATTTTCGATCAATAGTGAGTGATTTTTACAGTGAAACTAAACAGGTACAGGAAGTTAATTGATAATCAAATATTATCGAATATGTCAATTTAACGAATTAATTTTAAATTGTAAATGGACATACTGAAATTATGAAGTTTATTGCAAATTGTAACCGAACAGGATGAA